TTTCCTAGTTAAACAATTCTGGATATCAATATCTATTTGTATTTGTGCATATGCATTTCAGCTTTTTGAACATGCTCCTACTTTTGCCTCATTTTGTTTTCCTTCCCGTATAAATAGTTAAGGTGTGGACGTCCCATCAGCTTTATGCATTTGTTCTTAGAAAAGTGATGAAAATTAAGAGACGTCTCTAAGAAAAGTATCTAAAATGTAATCACTTAAAGTAACTATGATCAATGAGCCATCAGACCAGAGCTCAGCTGTTTGACTGGCAGCCTCTCTCTGGTATTAAGCACGTTATTCTACACTTATTCTCCAAGAGGAAATGATGATGGAAAAAGGATAAAATCTGGAACTTTTCATATGCAAAAGACCCATCATTGCTGCTCCCATCAAACTTCTTTCTGACCCCTAGTATAGGAGAAAGGAGATTTCTAGAGACATACAAGCCACCTGAGTTTGGAACAACAGTCTTCTGGAGTTTCGTTTGCATTCAGAACACAATGAAGCAGTTTATTTCATGTTTTGAATGTTCTTACAGGCCACAGTTAGCCCCCCGCCCCCCAAAGCTTCCAGTCAGCCATGGAGACTCAGTGCATTAATCAATAAAATAACTGGCAATTTTCCTGTTGCTACTGGGTGGAGCAGCTAATTGAGGGGAAGGAATTATCTTCCTATTTACATGTTAGGGAAGTTTATTTTCCATTTGTAATGGCTTGCTATGAGGAGTTAGGATTGTAATGTAATGTTGCCACGTATGGTCTGTGTCTGTTGTGGGTTTTTTTTAAGACAGATTGCCCAATACAAGGTAACGCACAGCATGTGTGCATTATAATTGCTTTGCTGCTCAGTTTTCAAGTTACCAAATACTAAACATGTTGCTTTATTCATTTGTTATACAGGGCCAAATGTTAAAATTGTGTATTGTACAAGCATGAATATTAAGACCACATACACCGATAGCTAGAGAAGTGTGTTTCTGCTATTGTTGTTCATGGGCTGGGCTGAAGTGAATCCATTACTAAACATTGCTTCTTCGATGGGTTGAGAGTTCTATGGCTGGCACTCATTAAAAAATACATGCTTAACTATTGCTTTGTTTGCTGTTTTCTTTTTAATTAAATAAAAAATAATTGCCCTGTCCATGTTTTATTTTTGGGGGAGAAGACATTACATAATTGCCGGTTTGGTCTAGTGGTTAAGGCTTGAAACCAGGAGACTCTGAGTTCTAGTCCCGCCTTGGGCATGAAAGCCAGCTGGGTGACTTTGGGCCAGTCACTCTCTCAGCCCAATACACCTCACAGGGTTGTTGTGGGAAAAATCGGAGGAGGAAGGAGTATTATGTATGTTCGCCCCCTTGAGTTATGTATAAAAATAATAAAGGCAGGGAAAAAAATCTAAAAAATAATGCTCAGCACGGAACGTCACCCAACCTATTTTTGTGGCCATCAATGAAAAAAGGTTGAATAAGTGGCTTATTTTGACTTCTCATTTCTTCCTATGGTACAACACAACACAGCAATGAAATCCACAAAGAAAACTCAATTTTTATGAGAACACTGGATGTTTGGAATGTTTTGATGGAATATTCCAGGTTAGGTTGTTTTGAGTTTGGGTTTCTTGCACAACCCTAGAAATCAGTATGCTGACCATAAAAAGAACCGTGAACATAATCTGCTAATGTGCAAGGGACGTGACAGTTACACTCTACCATCAGTAATTTAAAAGTCCTTAAAACACGAGGGGCCAAAAGGGAGGCCAAATATGGAGTTACAGAGTTTCGCATGACCCATCAAGCTGTTTTAAATAATCAGCCAACACAAATGATATCTGTGTTAAAAGTGAGTTTTAATACAGTAAAAAAGACCATTATAATATGTACACAAGTCCTTTTGGGGCTCTACTTTAGCAATGAAATCCACAGAGTTAGTGCTTTCTCTCTTATTGAGAGAAGCCACTGGTATAGTTTAAAGGAAAAGTGCTTAGTCACAAGTTAATGAGAAAATCCTAGCTGCCCATCGACTCATATTCACTCTTAACATGTTTTCAGAATGAAGTTTATACACTTGAGTTAATTGAAAACAGGTGGGGGAATATCACAGCTATTATGCAACAAGTTATATATGTTCTTTTCATAGAAGCAGGAAGAGATCCTCTCCCCAATACTCCAAAGATTATTTAGTTCTCTTTTTCAAGAAAAAAATTGGAAAGCCACACACTAATGCCTAAACCCTACCTTAAATTTATATAGCTAATGGTGGACATACATTGGAACTTCCTCAGCCTAAAGGCTTCATGATGAAAATCTGCCTCAGGGCTGCCTATGGGCCACAGTGGCCGGAGAGATGCCATCACTGGCGTCTTCTGTTGTTTAAGCCTTGTAGAGACTTAAGGCACCCATTTAGCTCCTTAAACCATCCCCAAGAGGGGAAAAAATCAATACAATTGAGGGGAGGGGAGGGGAGGCTGGAGCTTTTAAGGGGTGCTCCAGAAATGTCTGCAAGGCTTAAGGCAGTGTTGTGCAAACTTGGCCACTTTAAGATGAGTGGACTTCA